CGACAATAACTTGAATATAAGGATCTTATTATTCAAGGATTTGATAATAAGTTAATGTCTCATTAAGTCTTGTTAGCGAAGTGATTTCGCCATTAATTACATTTACATTTCTAATTAATTTCTTTGTATAAGTTGTTTCTTTATAATATAAAATATGAGCTGCCCGCACTAATATATATATATATATATATATATATATATATATATATATATATATATATATATATATATATATTTTAAATAAAACAAACCACTTTAAGGTTCCATGTAATAAATTATTTCACCACAGCCCTTTTAAAGGACTGCGGATCATCAGACTTTACTTCCAAACAAAAAATGAAAAGAAAATTTTATTTAAATTATTTGCTCTGGATTTACATTGAGCTCTCTGGATTTTATCCCCCTTAGGTTTACCCATACGGATTACCTGTTTTTCATAAACTATATATATATATATATATATATATATATATATATATATATATGTAGGATGCAACGGGTAAATTGTCGTAATTTTATATTATTAATTTCGTGAATGCGCGTTGTTTGCTTTTTATTTCATCGACTGCACTTTCTATCTCTCTCTCTCTCTCTTTGCCAAAGTACTAGAGTCCCTAATAAACTCTGAACTGATAATCCTTTCATATGGCAGGGTTTCCTTTCAAATAAGCAATATGGCTTTTGATTCTCTAGGTCAGTAGAGCCAGCAGTTGGGCACCGTCTGTGAGAAAAAGATTACCATAATGCAATTCACTCCGCCAGAATTTTTCAAACGGCATGTAACACTTCTCTGTATTTCAGGATGTTTGCGTATTTAGAGGATTCGGAAAGAGTTGGATGGGCCTAATGGTGACTACCAAGGTACGGCAGCTCGGAATACTCACTCTGATCGTTTTAATAAGAAAAGAAACTTCGAATTTGTTGGTGTGGGCCCCAGACTCAACATGGAGGCCTTGAGTAGATAATGCCACCCTGGTTCAAGACGTTGGTTGCTGGAAGACACTGTGCCTGGCAACATGATTCTGCACCATGCCACACAAGCAGAAGAACCTAGTCATGGCCTTCAGGCAATTTCTGCGACCACATCATCGTTTACATCTGGTCACCTAACTTACCAGACTTCAAATCCCTTGATTCTTACGTGTGGGGCGCTGTTGAGTGAAAAACCAACGAAACTCCTTGTAATGCCAAAGACGAACTGAAAGCAAGGATTATGACAGCATCAAGCAACTTAAACAAGGAGACCATCCAGAAGAGATGCAGGAGATTCTGTAGTCTTTTGGAAGCCGGAGTTCAAGCCAATATCAATTTTGCTGAATAAATTTATTCTTTAGTATTTCAAGATATTTTTTGTGTACGTTTGGTAAATATATCTGTTAAAATGAGATATCAGTGGTATTTTCAATTTTGCGTAACTTAGACAACAATTAATCCATTGCACCCCATATATTAGCAAGGTTAGATCTCTACGATCGACCCCGAAAGCTTAGTTCAATAGAGGATAGGGAACGTAGTGCGTGAGTTCAGAACGTCGGAGTAATATTCATTCAGAAAATGCACATTTCTACGTCCAGCAACTGCAACGTGTCCATAAAAAGTTTTAATCGAAAAGCTCCCTGCTACAAAGGCTCCCAGCCAAGATGATATTCAAATACGAAATTGCTGCCTAAATATACACTTTATGTATATATATATATATATATATATATATATATATATATATATATATATATATATATGTTATGCATAATCACGAATGGTCTCCCTTGTTAATATCCTCTTCCAGAGAGCTATTTCTACTTACTGGGACTATAAAAGAACACTATACGCGAACCTTGTATTCTCAGTTGAATAAATCTTTCTTAAAGATTACACCTGCATACTTTTGTCATTACATATATATATATATATATATATATATATATATATATATATATATATATATATATATATTGAGTCATAAGTAATTTCTATTTTGGGGAACCAATTGAAATGACGAATGTCTTATCCTAACTAGCTGTTCTTTAAAAATATCATAACAGATAATAAAAAAATGGTTATGTACAGCACTGTTCAACGCAGTAGGCATTGGATTGACAAGAATAAATTTCCGCAACCGACTCCAGAAGCTCTAACTTAATATTGTGCGTGTTAATGGATCATCGGCGTATTCTACTTTTAGAGTACTGAAACAGTAAATGCACATTTCTTCGTCCAGCAGCCGCAACGTGTCCATAAAAAGTTTTGGTCGAAAAGCTTCCTGCTATACAAGTGTTTTTTTTATGTTGTAAAACAGATGACATTCAAATAGGAAGAATAGGAAGTCTGATCTATTAATTCAAATACATAGTCACACACCGTAGTCATTGAAACCAAATACTTGTGCACTGGAGCAATCTCCTAATGAAACAAGACGCTTTTTGGCGGTTTCCCTGGGTGTTTGGTTGATAGCGTTTTGTAACTGTCTCAGCACGTGTGTTTAGTTCTCTCCATTGATGGTGTGGCCCTTTTGAAGATAGTCAATAAACACAGTGCAGTTATTAATAAGAAGGTTTGAAATTAATGCATGCAATATTTCTCAGCTCCAGTATCACTTTTTGATAGTCAGCCTATGAACTTTTCAGCCCACAATCGTACGACAATGTTCAACGCAAAAAGCAGTGATTGTATACAATAAATCTCTACAACTGATAGCAAAAGCTGAGCGTCATGAAACAAAGGTTAATACTGCGTGTATGGTGGGATCGTCGGAATAATTTTTCTTTAATTTAGATTCCTAAACAAGATATAAAACATTAAATGCACATTTATGCGTCCAGCAACTGCAACATGTCCATTAATGTTTGGGTGAAAAAGGGTATCCTAAGTTCCTCAACTGGAACGTGTTCTCTTCCATAATAACGCAACGCTGCATCTATAAGAAACGATTATCGATTGGTGCGTGATATCCCACATGATATATTCTTCTGATCTTGAACTCACTGATTATTACTTTTTTTCACTTACTGTAAAGCACTTTGATGGAGAAAAGTTTCTTTAATGATAACCAGATTTAAGAGTCTGGCGAAAATTTTACTTCAAAAACTCAAACATATATCGAAGAGCTGCCTGATAAGAAGATTTTCTAGTTTAGATGTGACACAAGGCTGAAAGTATGTGGCATTCAGTGAAGATTGAACTCACTATTTAGTGGTAATTGATCTTGGGAGATAAATGTACTAACCATTACACCACGTCGAAATGCCCCAGCTGCCTGGTAACTCATTGCAAATAACGACGACTATACAGGGTGTCCATAAAGTTCATGTGCACTTTAAAAAATTATAACTTTATTTGTATTTGCGATAGAAATAATCTGTAAAAAATGTTATTATACAGTGATTCAACAAGATGGAGCTCCTTGTCACTTTGCTCTGCGTGTTAGAGAGTTTCTAAATCAGGAATTTCCTAACAGAAGGGGTGGACTATTTTATTGGCCTCCACGTTCGCCAGATTTGACTCCATTAGATTTTTTTATGGAGACATGTGAAAACAATTGTGTATGCAACCAAATCTAGTTCATTGGAAGATTTGAAAGCTAAAATGTGATTTCCCCGGCATTATTGTAAATCAGTTGGCAAATGTTTTCCGTGAACTGCAAAATCGTATTACCCTTTGTATTGCTAATGATGGAGGACATCTGAAAATTTAAATAAAATTTCAATAAAACCTTAAAAAATATAGATTTCCTTCTTTCTAATCCTTTTTACAAATTATTTCTATCGCAAATACAAATAAAGTTATAAATGTTTGAAAGTGCACACGAACTTTATGGACGCCCTGTATAATTTAATAAGACGTGATTGTACTTTTTGGGGGCGGGGAGGAGGAATAATCTTGGGAAAAACACTGAAATTATTTATGACACAACCTAACATGCTTTGATTTGAATATCTTGCAACATATTTTTGGCCAGAGCAAATAATTAATGGCGAATACATATTTAATAGATAATTAATGGCGAATACATATTTAATAGATAATTAATGGCGAATACATATTTAATAGATAATTAATGGCGAATACATATTTAATAGATAATTAATGGCGAATACATATTTAATAAATAATTAATGGCGAATACATATTTAATAGATAATTAATGGCGAATACATATTTAATAGATAAACATTTAACTCAACCCAGTAAGTTGGTTCCCGACTGACAGTCGAGTAGTTACAGTTTTCGAATGTGAGTAGAAATTGTAATCTAAAACAAAATCGATTCTTTCACGTTGAATAAGCTCATATTTCCAGTTCGTAAGTAAATATTTTGGAGGAGAATATTCGATGTCTGGAACTTTTTTTGTTTTGTTTTAATAAAACCCAGACAGTATTCGACACGGCATAATCTCTAAACAATTTGATAGACAGATTTTTTTTATTACGCATTGGTGTGTAGGGGTTTAAAATTTGGAACTGCTCAGCAGGAAAATCATAAAAAGAGTGGAATTTAAAATAAAAAAAGAAAAGAAAACTAATTATAATAAATTAAATAAACATTTTATTTCATTTACATTTTTAAAAATTCCTATTTAAATACGATAACCTTAACGAATGCAAATCCAACTGAAGAGGCAAGAATAAAACTAATATAACGCTTATCAACGTGTAGATGTTTGGTGATTTCCGGGGGGCACTGCTTGATTGTATGCCCCTAAGTCTCAAGTGGGAGGGGGTATAGGGGGGTATAACGAGAAATGCAAAAAAAGAAGGTATTTTAAATATGTAAAAATATATGAAACATGAAATTAAAGATTTATTAAAATTAAATATAAACTAAATTTTTATTTCACTCGTTGACTTGATGCTCTCCCGATATGGATGCCTATGGCCGTCGCATCTTCCACCCCCACCCCAACTTCTGCACGCTATGCAGCATCGTGTGAGCTCTGACCCAAACATGGATGACACTGAACTCCGAAAGTCGAACATATATGAAAGATGAATAACTGTGTTCACAGTTGTCAAAGAAATATAGATCAGGAACTTGTGGAATTTGGCTATCTGGTTGAGATAGATAGATAGATAGATAGATAGATAGATAGATAGATAGATAGATGTGGACATAGGAATCAACACTGTACGATGGCTGTCACTTTTAGCAGTATAAATATAAAATATATAAATATAATATAAATATAGGTAATCTTAGCAGTCTACTACTTAGCAGTTTTTATATCTATATAATAAATGTGAATATCAGTGTTTCATTGTGTCACATTTTTTCAATTAAATTGATAAAACTCTCTAACGTTCAATAGCTCATGTTCTTCTTCTATATATTAAATGCGAATGACGGTGTGTCCCTGTATCACACACTTTCAATTAAAGGGACAAAACTCTCTAACTTTCAATAGCTCATTTTTTCCGTCTTCTTTAAATTAAATGCGAATGTTAACTAGTCAATGTCATACTTTTCAAGTTTACTCTTAGCGGTCGTAGTTTACTCTTACCGTTTTTGAATCAGGCCGATCCGTGAGTAAATTAAAAGCATTTCGGACCGAATCCGGACATGCAATCCTAAAATTTCATACTAATCCAACCTTAAACAATGTTTTGTTTAAAATTGTGTGTGTACTACTAGCCATAGGGTCACGTCATCCGCGAATAAACAGCTTCCCCCAACAGGCTTTTCGAGTGAGGAGAGTGGCTAGAGAATTAGTAGAATTCAGAACAAGACTAGTCAAAGAGCGAATTAACCTTCTTGTAGGGTCAACTGCCTTCTGGGATAGTGAAATAGACTGGGATCCATAGCAGTGTGTTTACCCAGATAATACGGCTACGCTGGGCGGCGGGTTCTTCCTTGTCTGAAATTAATGACACGGGTGGCATGTTCCCCAGATAGAATCATCGGTCACACGTTCGTAATCAATGCGAGCCTTGAATTAGAAAGATATCAGCTATAATTTGTTCTGGAGAGGGATGTGGCCCGCCAGGTTTAATTGTAGAAGATATACTACGCATGAATGTATAATTCTACGGCTTTCGATCTTGATATGCGAAGAAAAATGATCAGGTGCTCAGATACGCAATGACACAATCACCATGCCCGGTCATAGGGCTGATGATGATAATGATTATGATGATTCATATCATATGGTAGTGAAGTTTGTTCCTTGACTGTAAAAAATTCATTTCTATAATGGTAATAAATTTCACAAAATAGTTTCTTAAAAACTTATGGAATCGGCAGCTTTCAATATCTTCTTCCGTTAATATTTTCTTCGACTGGGTTCGTTTATTTTTATCTAACGTTTGTGTTTTTAGACTGTCTTAGGTGTTTGATGAAATGTCACAACATTCTGTTGATTTCTTCCTTTCGCTTAATGGCATTTTAACGCAATTCAGTCACCATTTATCAAATTTATGAGTCAAATGAAGCGGTCGCTTCAAACATTATTCGTTGACAGTTCAAGGCGTCAGATACGGATTAGGGACGTCAAAATCAACGAGATAGATAAATTTAACTATCTCAGTTGAATAGTAACAGACCGGAAAATGTGACACAGAAATCCGAAGGCACAGATGGAGAGCGAAAGATGTTATCCAGAAATTAAGCAACAAATTAAGACATGGGAAAATTTCACTGGAAACAAAGAAAATGTTGTAATGGAATGTCCCACACTCCCTATCGCCTATGTGGACTGACTATATCAATAGCTATATATAGTGAGCACAGATATACCTGGGGACTTGGTTTGGGAATTACTAACCCGTTACCAAATTCCCTGTCTTTAAGTTGTGTATTCTCTTTTAGAATAAACCTCTCCTCTTTCATTTACACACGTGTTGCTGTTCCTTCACTCGAGTACCACCTTTGTCTGTAACCTCTTTAAAAATACAACAGAAAAGAATGTTGAAATGGTTTATGGCAGTTACTGTCAGAGAATCTCTTCAAACATAAAGAGGTGTCTTGGTTCTACCGGAAAATACTAAGAAAATCATCAGCTCAAGATTTGGACAACGTGAAGGATTTATGGAAAATAAGAAGTACAAAGTTACTTAGACTGGGATAACTAATATATATATATATATATATTAAAGACATTTTTATGTTTAACATTCTTTTTATAGATACAAGTATTTAAGTAAATGCTCTGTTTATAATAAACAGTATTAAATAACATTTACCGGCCTGAATGTCCGAGAAATTTTCATAGAAAATATTCGTCCTTTGACAGGATTCGAACCTGCATCCTACACGGAACCGTCATTTACGCTGACGTGCCTTAACCAACTCGATCACAATCTTCTATGAATCTCGTACATTCATAACTGCTCATGGCGTATCAAATGTAAACAAATGACGTCATACATAGCTCAAAGGTCGAATTGAAGTTTATAAGCAGTAAATTCGACCTTGCCTACCGCGTCGGTTAAGGCACGTCAGCGTAAATGACGGTTCCGTATAGGATGCAGGTTCGAATCCTGTACTTGGTTTGTTAATTTGTTCATTATTTACTTAATTTGTTTATTTATTTTATTTTATTTTTATTTTTGTCTATACTTGTTCATTTTTAGTTTTCGATTTCTAAGTAACACAGTAAAAATCCTTTTTCGCGTCTGTATTTTGAGATGAGGTCTGATCGTTTATTTAGTTATTTGTGCTGGTCTGGTATGGTAATAATATCTATTTTCTCCTCCAGATAGAGTTCATAGTTTTTGGATTTATTGTTGTAAGCTGATGTTGTCTTTCTTATTTTTCATAATGTTTTGGGGGGTTCTTTTTAGTTTTTAATCTCCCAGGTATATTTAGAAAGCATTGTACTGTTCACATATTTAGTATTTGTAAAAGATGCTTCGTCTGTGCAGTTTCTTTGTATCCAGGGTCCTTCAGTTACTCCTATGTATACCTTTCTTAGTTATCTGCTGATTTTACAGTAGTTTGGTATATTACATTTTTCTGCAAGCAATTGTCGTTTAAGGGACATTCGTTCTTTGTTCTGTAGTTACACGTAAGTTTGATTTGTGCGGCTGGTTTGTTGGTTGTTTTCCTGTTTTGCTTTTTTATTATTTGTGTCATGTTCTCGGTGCAACTGGAGCTGATTTTTTACTGTGTTTTTGTTGAATATCTCGTGGAGAGTTCTTGATGCAGGGAAGTATTTGTGTATGGGTTTCATGAATATTTTTCCTACGCTTGTTCTTACGTGTTTGTCGTACGGTGGATTGATCCATATGATGTTTCTTTTCTTGCAGTTTTTTCTGGTGTGTTTTTGTTCATGTGAGTGTTGGCAGGAATCCACTATCTTTTAGGACCGCTTCATAGTCTTTCTTGGTTTTGTAGAAGATTGTTTCTCTTGAAGAACTGTCAAAAAGTCTGCAGTTAGTTGATTGTGGAATCTGATCTATTATTGATGTCTGTAGTTGGAAGACGTCTGCATATACAGTGGTTTGTCATTAGGTTTTCTATATCTTTGATATGTTCCTTTGAAAGCGGCATCTAGAAAATCTACTTTTTAGGGTATTTTTTTGTGTCTATGTCAAATTTCATATTTTTGGAAATTTTTAGGATTGCTTTTCTGGTTTTCTTTGTTACAGTTTCTTACGAAGCTTACATCATTTTCATCGTGTATTTTATTTAGTTCGTCTAGCAAATGTATACCTATGATCTCGTAGGCATGCACCGTCAAAGCTTCCCATTGTAATGTCAAAAATCCCTTCTTTCTTTATCCACGCGTCTTCATTGTCGAATAATAGTGATTTTCGAAATTGTTTAATGATTTTAATTTCGTTTGTGTTTATGTTTATCTGTTCTTGAGCTAAGGAGATGATCTTATGCATCATAGGTTCTATCATTGGAGGGTAGAATTCTTTTATATCTAGTTGTATAAAAATGGCAATTATGTTTATTTTTTTGGCTTATGGAACCAGTCTATACTTGTTGTTTGTTTTTTGTTTTGTTAACTGATTTACTCCTAACATCTTCCTTAGCTCTGAATTAATTATTTCTGGTATTATTTGGTTTATTTTACCTAGTTCACTTTGGCTGGGTCTATGGGTCTGCCTGTTGGATTCGTTCTGAAATTATTCTTGTGGTATTTTAAAGTGATAAATGCTTGTGATATCGTGATGCAATTCACGAGGTCGTCTACATCTGATGTTTGGCTGATTGTTTTAGTTTCAATATTAATATCTTCTGTCAATTTTGACGCTTTTCTGCATGTTTTAGGAATGTTGTCCTTCAGCAATTTGGGGGGGGGTCTTCGTTCATAGAAATTTCTATTTTAGTCCGCTGCGTTAAATACGTTTGTCGAATTTTTTACTTTAGTTTCTTTAGAAGGCATCTAATTATTCACAGAATTTTATGTAATAAATTTAGGTATGTCATCCCGACATAGTTATAAGTTATTGACAGTTGGAAAAAACGTTCATGAAAGTATGTTTCGAAAATAATATCCGATAATGCATTTCGCCTATATGGCTTCATCAGATGGATAACGAAAAATATTTTGTGATTGTGTGCATTTGTGTGTGATTAAAATAATTAAATCTTATATTATTTTTCCCAAGATGACATTGCTCGAGACTACAGAACAGAACGAAAATGAATGACTTTTAAAAAAATCGTTTTTTACCCATTCTGAAGAATTTCCATCTCAAAACTCGGACACTTAACGCGGAGAATATTAAATGCTAAACGATTAAAATCTTTTAACCGCTGTTGAAAATAGAAACGTTGAGTGGGGGCAGCTGTTTTTTATGTAGTACTGATAGACAATTTCATTAGTCATTTATATGCTATAAGGTTAAGAAGTAGTTTTAAGTTATATAGTTTTATAGAAGATAACCAAAACAAAACCATAAATTATTGTTAAACATAAGGCACTTAATATTATTTGGCAAACAATCTGGGGTGGTCAAGTTAAAGAATGTCAAATTACCTTTTCCATTATTTGCTCAAGCTGCTGTCCATCCGATAACCAGAAAAAAAGAGCCTGTCCTCTGAGGACCATTTTAAAAAATCAATCCGCACATTGGATTGGTTATTAAGAACGTCCAATCCAATGCACGGAAAATGTGGAAAATTTTTGTTTTACTCGTGTTGGAGGTTTTCTTTCTTTGGACTC